GCCCAACCGTGGCCCAGGTCTCTGTTCTTACTAACTGTGTCCTGCATCCTGTTCCTGGCCAGAATCTGCCATGGAGAGGGACCGCTACATGAGCCCCATGGAGGCCCAGGAGTTTGGCATCCTAGACAAGGTACTGGTCCACCCCCCGCAGGATGGTGAGGATGAGCCAGAGCTGGTGCAGAAAGAGCCTGCGGCGACGCCGACAGACCCTCCCGCCCCAGCAAGCACCTGAAAGCCAGGGCTCCCCTCCAGGGCAGCACCAAGGGCCTGGGCCAGCCAGACCCTAAGGCTGCACCCCGCTCACCTCTGACTGCTGAGCCTGGAGGAGCCCCTTGAGGAACTTTGGATTTGGGGGTGCCTTGACAGGCAGGGCAGTCTGGCTGCGACACTGTGATTTTAAATTAAATCTTTCCGTACTTTGTCCTGTGTCTGGGGCACCTTTGCTCACTGCCACATGATGTTGGGCTTCCGTGTGCATGTCACCAGGCCTCTTCTTCCTTTTCCCGACCCCAGTCTCTGACCAGCCCTTTCTTCAGCAAACTCCTGAGCACAACCTACATTCCAGGCTGTGAAGAAAACTCAAAAAGCCAGCATCAATGAACTCACATTCTTGGAGGAAAGATAGACAATTAAAAGGAGAGAAGGAGGTGTGTAGATTTCTACATGGGATGGTCCCAGAAGGCCTTGCCAAGAAGGTGACATTTGAGCCAAGACCTGAAGGAATCAAGGGAAGCATTGATATCCTGGGAAAGAAGTCCAGGCAGAGAGCACAGCCAGTGCAAAGGCCCTGTGGTAGTTCTGTGCCTGGCATGGGGGAGGAACCTCAAGGATGCCAGTGGCTGAAGGAGAGTGAAGAGATGAGACAAGACATGGAGGTATCTCAGGTGCAGTGGTGCACACCTGTAATCCCATCAGCTCAGGAGGCTGAGGCGGGATAGTGAGTTGAAAGCCAGCCTCAGTAAAAGTGAGGTGCTAAGCATTTCAGTGAGACCCTGTCTATAAATAAAATACAGAATAGGGTTGGGATGTGGCTCAGTGGTAGAGTGCTTGTCTCAGATGTGTGAGGCACTAGAATCAATCAGCACCACATAAAAAATTAAACAGTAATTTCAAAACATCCTTTTAAAATAGTCACTCATCATGGAACTTAACTGAAATTCAAATCCAACTGGGTGTCCTGTATTTTATCAGGCAAAACTTTTCCAGATCAGCTGCGGAGTTAACCCACATTAGAAGCCCATGTGAGGGATTTCTTGGAAGTTTGAGGTCACCTGTCCTGACCCAATCCACATGTGGCTGCAATCAGAGGTGTGTCCAGATCGAATCTTCTAGACTCACTGGAGATCCTGGATTGCACATTTTTCCCTCTTGAGCGGCCTTGCCAGGCTGGCCTCAAACGCCTGGGTCACACGGTCCTCCTGCCTCAGCCTCCTGAGCAGCTGGGAGGACTGGCGCGGGCCCCACACTGGGCCAGAGACAGCCTTGGTCCTTCCTGTCCTCAGTCCTCCTTTCTGGACAAGGAAGTGCTTGCAGTTGCCAGGGCTGCTCAGCTGGTGACATTCTGGAGTCCTCTGCTCATGTGTGGTCCCTGTTCACATGACCAGTTGCGTGTACTGTTATTTTCATTCGAATCGTTCAAATTTCCAAACATGAAAACACAGCATTATAGCATAATGTTCTCAAGGTTCTTCTGTTGGGACAGGTGCCAGGATTTTTGTCCTGATTGTAAAGGCTGAGTAATGTTCCATTGTGCAAAGAGGTGACATTTCGTTTCTCCATTCCCACGTTGACTAAAAACATCCATGCTTGTCATCCAGAGACTCAGGAGGCAGGAGGATGGTAAGTCAAGGTCAGCCCAGCGACTCAGCAAGACCCTGCCTCAAGATAAAATAAAAGGGGCTGGGGCTGGGGCTGGGGCTCAGAGGTACAGCACTTACCTAGTATGTCGTGAGACCCTGGGTTTGATCTCAGCACCATATAAAAAATGAAGATACTGGGCTGGGGATGTGGCTCAAGCGGTAGCGCACTCGCCTGGCATGCGTGCGGCCCGGGTTCGATCCTCAGCACCACATACAAATGAAGATGTTGTGTGCGCCGAGAACTAAGAAAAAGTAAATAAATTTTAAAATTCTCTCTCTCTCTCTGTCCCCCTCTCTCTCTCACTCTCTAAAAAAAAAAAAAAATGAAGATCCTGTGTCCACCTATAACTAAAAAATAAATATTAAAAAGTGGGGCTGGGGATATGGCTCAGTGGTAGTGTTGCCGAGTTCAATCCCAGTACAGAAAGAAGGAAGGGAATGTAAATCAACCTTTTTTCTGAACCCAGGGCCTCAAGCATGATTGACATAGGGCTCTACCACCCAGCCACGCCCCCAGCCCCAAATCAACTACTTTTAAAAAATCTGTTTAGGGTTGGGCTGGGGCTCAGTGGTAGAGCGTTTGCCTAGCATGTGTGAGGCCCTGGGTTCGACCCTCGGCACCACATATAAAAATAAATAAAATCAAGGTCTATTGACAACTCCAAAAAAAAATCTTTTTATTTTGGAATAATGACAGTCTTGCAGGAAGGTGTGATGATAGTGCGGGAGCTGGGGTGCCACTCRGTGGTACAGCACGTGCTTAGTGCTGGTGGGGCCTGGGTTCGATCCCCAGCACCAAAAAGAAAAAAAAAAAAAAGTAGAGCAGAGCAGTCCCAGTACCCTGTGAGCGGCTTCTCCAGTGGTGACATGTGACAGAACAATATCATTTCAAAACCAGGACGTTGGACTGGTATGATCTGGAGCCTGCATTCAGATTTCAACAGCTCTGCAAGCCTGGCTGAGGGTGTAGATGTGATTTCATCACGCGTACAGGTTTGTGTAACCAACACCACAATTATGAGGCTTAATACTTTTATTTAACCAGGGAAACTTTGGAAGCCTCCAGCAAAGGGGAAGGAGACGCCATCTGCTGGGAAGGGCCGCCTGTGTAAAGGGTGAGGCCAGAGGAGGCACCTCCTGTGGCACAGTCTAGCTGGTCCAACAGAGAGACTGTGTCCAGAAGCATCGGACAAGCCAGGCGCGGTGGTGACGCCTGTCATCCCAGTGGCTCAGGAGGCTGAGGCAGGAGGATCATGAGTTCAAAGCCAGCCTCAGCAATATGGAGGCCCTAAGCAACTCAGTGAGACCCTGTCTTTAAGATACAAAATAGGGCTGGGGTGTGGCTCAGTGGTCAAGTGCCCCTGAGTTCAATCCCTGGCTTCAACCCCCCCCCCCAAAAAATTGCAGCATCAGTCAGCAGCTCTGAGGCAGCCCTGCAGTGAGGGAGAGTTCCGAAGGAGTCCCTGCCTGCCACGCAGCTGCATGCGCTGCCCTGTGTGGCCAAGTTCTCTTGCTGGAGAAGCACCGCAGCTGGCCACTGCATGTTCACAAGGATCCTGGGAAGGAGCAACAAGCACTGCCCCATTTCATGGTGAGAAGCAGGCTCAGAGGCGACGTGGCTTGCCTCCTTCTGTCCCTTTCTAGATATCTGACCTGGGGTGAGTTGCTTTAGTCCTGACCGTCTGTTTCCTTATTACAATCAGAAGAAAAAGCAGTTACTGTCTCAGGGTGTTAAGAATGTTAAATGAGCCAGCTTGGTGGCACACGCCTGTAATCCCAGCGGCTGGGGAGGCTGAGGCAGGAGGATCACAAATTCAAAGCCAGCCTCAGCAACAGCAAGGCGCCACGCAACTCTGTGCAACCCTTTCTCTAAAAAAAAATACAAAAAAGGGCTGAGGATGTGGCTCGGTGGTTGAATGCCCCTGAGTGCAATCCCTGGTACCTCCTGCAAGGAAAAGAACATTAAATGAGATAATACTGAATGCTGAACACCTAGAAAAGAGCCTGGTGGAGGTATGAAGTTGGTAAGGGAGTGCCAGTCCTCATCACCATCAAGATCACCATCCCATAGGCTTGCCTTAAAGCTCAAGGTCACCTGTAGTATGAAACACCATTATCATTTAAAAAATTTTTTTAGTTGTAGATGAACACAATACCTTTGTTTTATTTATTTTCATGTGGTGCTGAGAGTCAAACCCAGTGCTTCACCCGTGGGAGGCGAGCGCTCTGCCAGAGCCCCAGCCTCAGCCCACCATTATCATTTTCTTGCTCTTCTGATCCCAACAGGGAGCTTAGCCCTGGACCTGCTGTCTCTGTAACAATCGCATCCATGAACGTCACCTTCCTGTCCCAGGGGCAAGCTGGGGATCAGAGAGCAGCACCCCCCACCACTCTGCTTTCTGTGATTGTAAGACCAGTGAGATCGAGGCTGCTCAGGCTGGCCTCAAACTTGCAATCCTTCTGCCTCTTCTCCTCGGAGTGGGGACTGCAGGTGCGGGCCACCACCCAGTGCGCATGAGGCCTTGACCACCAGGAGAAATGGCTTCCATCCCGCCCAACTTCCCACAGCACAGACGGGGAAAACAGAGCTCCTGGAGGGGAGATGGTAGGATGGCGTCTCCTAACCAAGGGCTCTGTCCCTCTGAGCCGAGCCCATTGGAGGGGGTGTCCAGCCGCTGCCCCCGTGCAGAGCTTCGAATGGCACCCAGGCAGTAAAGTCTAATGGTTAGGGGCCTGAGGTTCAGCCTGGTTTTTGCCACCCAGTGGCTTCTCCCTCCGCCTCAGCTTGCTCATCTGTGAAACGGAGAGTGTGGCACACCCACCGCGGTGAACTCTCGTCCTTATTTCCGTTCTAGAACAGCCATGGCCCCCAACTTCTGCTCCTTAGGAGCTGGGATGGGAGGCCTGCTCCCTGCAGCAGCAGCTCTGTGGCTGGTGCCCAAGGCCACCACTGTCTCTGCGCAGCATCCGCCAGGCTGCCCTGGCGCAACCGGGGAGCTGCCCAGCAGGTTTTTCCTCTTGGCCTGCCGCGGGGCACGGAGCCGTCCTCTCCCGCCTCACCTGGGCCGGGCCCTCCCGGGCTCCTGGCTCTGCCGCCCGTGGGTGCCAGGCGCAGTGAGCAGGTGGCCGTGGCTGGTCAGGATGCCCAGCATCTTGGCGTACCAGAGCTCTGAGGTGGACTGGTGTGAGAGCAACTTCCAGTACTCGCAGCTGGTGGCCGAGTTCTACAACACGGTGAGGACCGGGCGGGAGGGAGCCTCCTGGGGTGCGAGTTCAAAACCCGGCTTCTCCACATCCTCTCTGGGGAATCTGGCTGGAGCAGTTCGCCTGTCGTGGCTCCGTCTTCTCATCACTTAGGCTGGGAGTGTCGGCTGTCATTCATTGATTCTGTCTTTATTTGGCATCAACCTCCGTGATAGGAAACGCAGCAGAGCCAGGCAGGGAGCAAGCCTCTGCTCTGAGCTGAGAGTACCGAGATGACTTCAGGTGTCTGCCACCCAGGAGGATGGTGCTGTGATGGGGGGCACAGAGGCAGCTGTGAGGATACCCAGAGGAGGCCTCTGAGTCCGTCAAGGTGGATCAGGGAAGGCTTCCTGCAGGAGGTGACTGTGGCTGGCTGGTTCTCATGGCTCTTCCAGCTCAGACACATCATTTGTCTTCCTGGGATTATCCTAGTTTTAGCACTGAAAGCTTCACCTTCCAGAAACCCCCTCGGTTCTGGGCATAGTGAGTTGTTCAGTCACCGGCCCCACACACTGTGCTGTGGCACAACGTTGGAAGTGCTTAAGAATCACGGACGGGTAAATGACCATGACATTGAACCAAAGCTTTCGAGACGGGAGCAGTGGTGGAAAGACTGTGCTGAGCTCTTCCTGAGCAGGGCCTGGGGCCGAGGGGGCCGGGCGCTCTGGAGCCTGGCTGCTGCCGCTGGGCTGGTGGGCAGGCAGGCGGTGCTCGGCTCTGCGCCCTGTGAACACGGGCTTCACCGGGCGCTTGCTGTGAGCCAGAGCTGTCTGGGGTGACACGCACAGGACGGGGGCTAGCCTGGCGTTCACCCCACCTTCCCCGAGGAAGCGCTGCTCAGAGGCTCACGGCCTGCTTGGGCTCGGTGGCTCTTACAGCCGGGTGAGCCTGGACTTGGCAACTCTAGGAGACTTTGGGGACTAAAAAACGCGGGGCGCTGCGTTTAGGCTGCCCAGGCTGGTTCTGACCGTGTTAGCTTCCGACGAGTGGCTTCCAGGAGGCGGAGGCGAGACCCGGGGCTCCTCCTGGCCTCCCGAGCTCGCTCCCCCAGGGCTGGGGAGGCCCTTCTGGTCCTCAGTTGTCCCATCGGTATCCTGGGAAGGGGACCAATGTGCCGCTCATCAGAGGCGAGGGAGAGGAGTGGGGTTCTGGGGCCCTCCTGTCTGCGTCTCCTGGAAGGCCCCAAATGTTCTCTGAGGGGCCCATCCCCACAGGGTGCCCCCTGAGTGGGGAGGGTGGAGCATTGCACTCCTCCTCTAGCCCACCCATGGACACCCCGAAGGCCAGGGCAGGTCTCCAGCGTTCCCACGTCATGACAGAGACTGGGAAAGAGTCTTGTCTGGGACCTGCACCTCTAGGAACTTCCTTCTCTGTTTCCTGGTGCAAATGTCCTTGGGTCTCTTCTGTGCAGGGCTTGGAGACCACTGTGAAGGTGCCCGGGAGGCCTCACGGTGGGGGCGGGCGTTAAGAAATTCTTCCCAGAGGAGAAGAGTGTCTGCCCAGCCCAGGGTGACCAACTTATCTCGGTTTTCCTGGGATCAACCCTGTTTTTGATACTGAAAGGTCAAAAGAGTTAGCAGTCGAGGAGTGGAATCTCAGCTGGGTTAGAGGGGTTTCCTCCTTGGGCTCAGTGGGGCACACTGGTCATCCTAGTGACTCTGGAGGCTGAGGCAGGAGGATCACAAGCTTGAGGCCAGTTTCAGCAACTAAGCAAACCTCAACATAAAATAAAAGGGGCTGGGGGTGTAGCTCAGTGGTAGAGCATGTGCCTAGCATGTGTGAGGCCCTGGGCTCCATCCCCAGCACGCACGCGCACACACACACACACACACACACACACACACACACACAAGTGTTTCTTCACAGTTTTCTCCTCCCAGACACAGCTGAGTGATCATCATATCATTCAAGGTGGGCTGGGGCGGAGTGACAAACTTGTCCTGCACAGACCTATTTACAGCTAGTAAATACATTCAGCCGTATGACACATGGGGTTCCTGTCCCAACTCTTCAGCTTTGCTAAAGGTTTCAAAGCCTCCTGGGTGATCTGTAAGTCACTGGGTGACAGTGTTCCAATAAAGCTTTATTTATCGATGCTGCAATACGGATTTCCTATGATTTTCACGTGTTGCAAAATAATCTTCACCATTTGGAAAGGGAAGCGATCTTTCGTAGCTTGCCAGTCCCATGATACAAGGCAAGGGGCTCAATGAGGCTCATGGTCAGGGTTTGCCCACCCCGGACACACTTATGCCAGAAAACCCATTCCAGTGGAGGACAGTAAGATGATGGTATTCTTTGCTCTGAATTTACCGATGAAGATTGAGTATAAGAGGGTTGGGGTGCAGCTCAGTGGTGGAGCGCTTACCTAGCACGTGGAAGGCACTGGGTTGCACCCTCAGCATCACATAAAAATAAACAAATAAAGGTATAAAAATACAATAATTTAAAAAAATAAGTAAGGAGTTTAACTCAGGAGTGGTGACTTTGTGGTCCCAGCTCCTCAGAAGGCTGAGGAGGGAGGATCTCTTGAGCCCAGGAGTTCAAGGCCAGCCTGGACCACAAGTGAGGCCCTGTTCAAAACAACAAAATACACTAAGATAGAATCAAAGGAACAAGTTCTTCCTCGTGATGTGGCCCACCCTCTTGCTGCTATTCCCTGGGTGCGCTTTGGTGACTTGTGCCCAGGGATGAATTTACAAATGATGCCTGTTCCGACCTAGTCATTGCAACTCGGGGAATTTGTACCAAAGAAATCATCCCAGAAGACAACAAGATTTATCCACAGAGTCATCCCCGAGTCATTTGTGACTGTGACAAGTGAAGACACCCAGTGGAGCTGCAGCCGTGGGGCCTGTCTGTGGGGCTGAAGGCTTCCCGGTGACATTCTGTGCAGCTGTCCCAGAGCCTGCTTTTGATCCGGGGATGTAAGTGAAAGACTAAGCCTGCAGCTGAAAGCATTTAAGAAATCTGTTCCCGTTGCTCTCATCGCGACCTGCTTAGGAGTCACGATTCATGTTGAGAATGTGACTCTAAAGAGGAATCTTTCTCTGCTTGCAGAGAGCTCTGAGTCGGGTTAGGAGGCAGAGCCCAGATGCTCACGGTCAAGGTTACAGAAGAAGAAAATTGCAAAGGAGTCAGCCCAGGTGTTGGGAGGCTTCATGGAAAAGGGCACACAGGCACTGGGTCTTGAAGGACGAGTCGGAGCCCACCGAGCGCGGGAGAAGTCTGGACAGGGAGAGCAGAGGAGGTGCAGGATTCGGGAAGTCAAAGAGGAGCTGGGAGATCGGGAAAGGAGAAAGTGTTTCTGTGGCTGGACTGTGAGGAGGAGGAGGAAGCCGAGCTGTCTGTGAAGGTGCACTGAGGGGAGGGAACCCGGGCCAGGGCCGCCAGGCAAGCGCTCCACTGGGACCCGCACCCCTCCTCACCCCCAACAAACAGATTTTACTTGGTACCAGGGATTGAACCCAGGGGTGCTTAACCACGGAGCCACTTCCCCAGCCCTTTTTATTTTTTATTTTGAGACAGGGGCTCACTAAGTGGCTGAGGCTGGCCTCAAACTTTGGATCGTCCTGCCTCAGCCTCCCGAGCGGCACTTGGCTCCCACAGTTTTCCTGCCGTGTTGATCGCTGGGGATCATCCCGTGCTCCTTGGCGAGCTCATTCCTTCAACAAAATGCTCGACACCAACGACAGCAGGGTGACCCTTAGGTTCCAGGAGGCCCAGGGTGCTCCGTGTGTGGGGTGTGTCCAGAATTAGAGGTGCATTCCTGCCCCCCCTGGTGAGTGTGAGGCCTACGGAGGAAGGAGCGGAAGCTGGGGGTGGGAGCCGTGGGGGTGGGGCCTCTTGGGGAGGAGAGGTCGAGGGTGCAGGGTGCCCCGGGTCTCAGGACCCAGTGCGTGTGCTCGCAGGCTACCGGGCAAAGGGCATGACACAGGCAGAGTCCCCGAGGCAAGAAAGCACATCCTGTTGGAAAGTAGCAGGTGGTTCGAGGCCAGAGCCCAGGTGCCTATCACAGAGGCACTGAGGGTGGGAGGAAGGACGGGAGGTTTCTGGGCCAGGTCAGCAGTGCCAGGCTGAGGAGGGAGGCCGTCAGGGCACTGATCAGCTGAGAGGTGAGAGGTCAGCGGGTTGCGTTCCACTGTGGGCAGGAAGAGAAGGAGCCGAGGTCGGGGTGCTGGCTGGGCAGGGCAGGGCAGAAGTCAAGGGCAGGGCCACATGAGTTGGCACCCGTCCCTCTTAGCCTGCTGACCTCCTGCCGGGCGAAGGAGCACTTGGGAGAGTTCAGATTTCTGAACGGTACAGGTGGAAGGTTCCAGGGCCCTGGGTCCTGGAGGCTGCGGAGATGAGTTCCCCCTGGGGTTCTGCTGCTCGTCCTCTTCGGAAGACTCTTCACTCTGGACAGAGCAAAGGGGTGGCCTCCCTGTCTAGGGAAAGGCGGGCGGTAAGAGGAGCAGGACAACCTGGGGCCACGAAGAGAGACCAGAGCGGGGGCAGTGTGCCCCCTTCTCCAGCACCCTGCCCACCTCCTCCCTGAGCCCTCCGGCAGCTGGCCTCTGCAGTGTTGCCAGCCCCGCCTCTTCCTTGAGTGCTGTGTGACCCAGGGGGCAGCCATCCGTCTCTGAGCCTCGGTTGTGCCCTGGGCAGGGAGCTCTAAGCCACAGTGCACTAGAGACCCGGTGGTACCTTCCTCTTCTGCCTTCTCCCCCACTGACTAGCAAATGATGACCTGGTGCCTCTGGAGGGTGGAGTCCTTGTCCTCAGGCAGGGAAGACACCACAAAGAGAATAGTAAACGTGTAACACTGGTTACTCTTGATGCAACTTGGGTGCAGACCTGAGGTCCCTGGGGACCTCTTTCCTCCTTTGGACGGTGGGTGCTGGCGGCCCAGGCTGCTGGCCCCTGGCGGAGGAGATCCACCCTGGGACAGCCACTCTCCATTCTGTTCCCACAAGGATGGCCAGGGCACATGGCCTGTGCCAGGCGCTGCC